GCTAGGATCTGGAACCAACTTCCAAGAGAAGTGGTGCTGGCTCCTACCCTGGGGGTCTTGAAGAGGAGGCTAGATGTACACCTTGCTGGGGTCGTTTGACCCCAGTATTCTTTCCTGCCATGGCAGGGGGTCGGACTAGATGATCTACTCAGGTCCCTTCCGACCCTAGAAACTATGAAACTATTAAAGCCACTTGGAATGCTCTGGTCTCAACAGTCAAAGCTATCTGCTTCAACTTGGGTTTTGAAGGATTCTAAACTCATCCCAAACTTCCAGAAGCTATGAAAGGAAGAAGAGAATAGGAGTTCTGTCAGTTTTCACTTTAGACAAGATCATTATGGAACATGGAATTTGTGCAATTCTGTCATTTTTTTGCACGTCTATCTCAGTATTCTTCACAACAGAATCCATGAAATGGTTCATGGGGGTACTTCATCAGATTGCCCTGCTTTGAAATCTGAAACGCCTCCCTTTTTTTTTTTTTTGTATTGATTTTTAAGACAAGGCACAATGAATTCAGTGTAGTCTCAAAACAGAAAGGAGAAATCATTGCCAGACCTTTTAAAAGCTGTATCCCAGGGATGCCGAACATAGGACCAGTGGTGATTCTCTTTGGCTATGGCTGGAAAGACCTGGCCAGATCTGGCCCATGGGCCTTCTCACCGCAGTTTCCAGAGCAGCTGTACTGGCATGGCCAGAACCCAGGGAGTTAATGTTGCCCCACCCCTTACCTACCACTGAATCTCCAGTTTTCAATCACCAGAGATTCCCGGAGAGCACTGGACAAGAGGGTGAACTGAGGGACATATTAAGCAAAGTCCAATCTGTAAAGGACGCTCAAAGCCTGATCAACACAAGGCAAGAATAAATGGCAGAACAGGAGGAGAGACAGTAGGCTTAATCTATTTGGCTTTGTTCACCTAAATGTCATGCAAACTGCTATGTAACAGCAGCTTTTGGCACTTACTCAGAGATTGTGATTCACCTCTGGACTAAGATCAGATATATCCTAAAATTGTAGTCATAGAAAAAACACAATCAATAGCTTTTAGATCCAGAAGAAAGGCCCTCCCATCTCTTAGTCCTAGAATTAAATGATTAGGGGACTTGCCCAGGAAGAGGGAGGCATGGGTTCTGCCCCCTTTCCTGCCCCTTCTCCCTCCAAAAGCCTTGAACAGCTATCTCAAACATCAGTCTAGACCAGGGCTGTCCAACTTTGGTGTGGCCAGGGGCTGTTAGGCCAGGGGACAGCCCCTTCAGCATCTCTCCACCAACCATGCAGGCAGCACCAGCAGCATATAGCCCTCCCCTTCACCCCCAAGGCTCTTCCCTGCCACACAGCAGTGGGAGACTCAGCTGCAGGGGCCCACAGACCAAATATTAACCTCTAGCCAGTTGGACAGCCCTGCGCATTACCTGGCCAGTTTTGATAGCTAAGAAAAGGATATCTGTGAGGCTGAGAAGATGAAAATAAATCAATCAGAGGGTGTATGGCTCAGTACGACAGATGCTATCCTGGGTGGAAGGGGGTCCAGGCCCAGGGTCCTACCATGAGCCACTGTTTCCAGTGGAACAAACTTTCCCAGAGCTGGTTACCCTTTTTATCTAAGAATTATTAAATGCAAGGTACAGTGGGCCAACCTCAAAAGGAGGGTAGAAGTAAAGACTAGCCTCTGTCCTGGTAGTTAGAGCACTTTACTAGGAAGCAGGAGATGCAGGCTCAAACCCACTCTGGGTAAGAAGATTTAGAGCAGGAGTGGGCAATTATTTTGGGCAGAGGGCCACTTACTGAGTTTTGCAAGCCATTGAGGGCTGCATGACAGGCAGCCAGGGGCAGATATATTAATTTTCTGAATTTTTTAGGGGCCCCGTAGACACATAGAATGGCCTGGAGGGCCACATCCAGCCCACGGGCTGCATTTTGCCCACCCTGATTTAGAGCCTTGGTTTCTAATGCCCTTGGCAAATGCTCTCACCACTAGACTGTTGGACTACAAGGTGACTGAGCATCCCTCTTTACCTTCCCTCCTACCACTTCCAGCAGGTACACGTGCAAGGCACATGTTCTGTTGTGCCACAAGATAAAACTGCAGCTACAGGGCTGCATACCCGTCATTTAGGATTTAACACTATGCATCTGAGTGCATGGGGGGGGATAAGAGATAGAGCATTAGCAAGACCATTGCTGGAATAGTGTGTCCAGTTCTGATGTCCACGTTTGTAAATTAATCTTATAAAAACAGAAAAGGATTCAAGAAAGAACTAAAGAGCAACTCCTGGCTTGGTAAAACAATAAAAGGCTAGAGGACCTCAACTATTTAGCTTATCAAAGCAAAGATTAAGAGGTTAGTGGAACATGGTCCATAATTATGTACAGAGGAAGAAGATACCAAATTACAGACAGGCACAAGAAAACCAAGTGGCTGGAAGCCAAAGCCATCTTAGTTCAAACTGGAAACATAATGCAAATGTTTAAAAGAGAAGACTGCTAACAACTGGAACAGCTTACAGCAAACCATGGTAAATTCTCTGTCAGTCAGCATCTTCAAATCCAGACTGGAGAGCTTGGGAAAAGCGGCTCTACAGCTCAAGTGACAGGAGTACAGGAAAGAAGGACTAACTGGATGAAATTATGTCCTCTATGACATAAGAGATCACACAAGAGTTTCATAAAGATCTCTTATAGCTTTAATATGTAACGTTCTCTGAATAAGAGGTTTCAGTCCCAACTCAATTAATAGGGTACTACATATATATGTAGTTCAATGTTGTAAATACAAATAAATCAGACAGTTGCAAACTTATATCTTTAAAGATTTAACTCTGAAAGTTTACATAGGATGACATTGTTCAAACTTATTTCAATGAGGTGATATTTGCCTAAAAACTTTTCATGAGAACATAATCCCCCTAAAGTCAGAATACTGGCTTTGATTCAGCTTGCATTTTCCACAAGCTAATATCAAGAGACATTTTAAAACCATTATCTATGTTAATGCTGAGGTTAATTCTCACAGCCTTACATGCAAGTTGTAATGGGGTTCGGCCCTGTCACTGTGGAGAAGAGCATGTCTGAGCCTCCTCTAGCCCAAGACAGCTTCCCCTTACTCCCAGGAGACAGATGCAGCTGTGCTGTGGCCTCACAGACTGGCCAGAAGACCATGTGGCAGACACAGCTACAAGAAACAGCCCCAGCTGGAGAAGAACCCCAGCTGCGGGCAAGTGGAAGCCCAGCCACCAGGACAGAGTGGAAGGGCCTATCCCTGCACGCGCACACGTGGGGAGTTAAGAGCAGTCAGAAACAGCTGCACCGGGGGCCTCTCTGGTAAGGGAGCAAGCTGCCACCAGGAGGGATGCATAGATGGTGCATTTGCTGAGCAGCCTTCCCCTTTCTGCAGGAGTACTGCCACCAGCCCATGCCCAGGTCTGGCTGCTGGAAGCACCAAACTAACCATACAGAGCAGATGGCAGAAACCCCAGACAGCAAGCACAAGATAATCTTTTCTTTAATCATTACTATTAATTTAACAGTTACAGACTCTGGGCCTGGGGAAAAGACCATAATTCCAGGGGCAAGCCTCAGGCCACCTGCCTGGGAAGGCCAAGGTCTGGATTAGTGGATTCTTGGCTGCCCCTCTGCAGCTATGGTAAAAGAGGTCAGGGTGGTAGTAATCCCTCCAAGTCTGTGACTACCTGCGCAGCTCACACAAGTGTCTCTCAAAATATGAGTACAGGTGTGTGTGTGGATCCAGACTTGCTTTTTTTTTTTTTTTTAATAAAGTAAAACTGGGGTTTTGCTGAGTCTCTCCATTGAAGCAGGTTGTGAAATTGCCAGTAAAAATCCATGAGGAAGCAGGAATCCCACTACTGCCACTTCTGTTTAACCAGCAATACCAGGTTAAGACATCACTGTACAATCCAATGAGCCCTTCGTCACTGGTACTTTACCCACCCAGAATGGGTTTCAACCACAATACAAGGCCAATACCAGTTGCAAAGGATTCAGTGGAGTGAAAAACACTCATAGCTTTCCTCCCCAACCCAAGTTTTTGCAACAAGCATAATTTCCTCAAGTCAGTTCATCCTCACTTCCCCCTTTTCACCAGCTTTCTTTTACAATCTAAATATTATTAGGCAAAATAGCCACTTTAATCCAGGACAAACAGGTCCAGACATGTTTTAATTGCTGGTATTTTAAGCTTCAGAGTACCAAATATATTGTGGCATTTTTCACATATATGTATACGGCAGAAACAGAAACAACAAATCATGAGTACCCCCCATTAAATGTTTATTATACAATTTTATATAATACATGTGAATGTATGTGCGAGTACATACTGAATTTCAGATATCATATTATACAGATCACTCCACAACTAGAATGAAATTAAAATCTCCAGAAAAGTTAATGTCTTACTTTGTAGGAGGTGGAGACTAAGAGGTGAGCAATATTCTGAACTGCTCCATGGTTAAATAAGATTGTCTGATGATCCGGTCCCTATAAAAAAAAGAAAAAAGAAACAGAAAGTTTGTTTTTAAAAAAAGGAAAAAGAAACATCCCATTTAGAATGCAATTTTAATAGATATTAAATCAGATTTTCTGCTCTTATTTAGTTTGTACCATGGCAGTGCACTAGATGAGTTCCCTGCTAGCTAAGGTTGAAGCCAGCCTTCTGTTACATCTATTAAAACTGTTCTACTTGTTAGTAGTCATTTTCATTCTTCTTGTGGCAGGATGCTGACAAAAACTAGAAAAATTAAGGAGCAGAATGAGTGAAATCTATTTGCACAAATGAAGGATGACTTCCAGAAATAATTAGAGGGAGTCTATTCTTCATAACTCGTGTGAGGTTTCTAGCAAAATCCTGTTTCAGTCTTAATATCAAATGAAAGATTATCAGCTATTTCCAATGAATCTTCCATTGCAAAGCCAATGCATTTTTAACTATTCTAAGCTGAAAAGCGATTGCAGGTGGCTAATTCCAAAGGTGTTCCTATTAGAATATGCATCGACTGACAACGTTACAGAGCTCGAGTCAAGGTGCTCCTACAGGTGAAAATAGAAAGATATATTTGATGTTACTATTTCAAGTGTACAAGCTGTAAAACTGGTCAACCAAACTTACACTTCTTAGGCACTCAAAGACCTGGTAAAATAAGTATCTAACCATTTTCAGTTTTAATAAACTCACTCAGAAGCTAACGCAAGTCAAGATACTGACACATCACTTGTGCAGTAAAGTGGGCTGAGTCTCCGGCTCCACGTGGCTAGAGGAAACATGAACTCCTGCCGGGACTTCCTACCTTCCCCAGACACTAATACATTTTATGCGATTGGCAAACCTCTCTTCCCTGGGAGGTAGACCACAACTATCCACTGCCCTGGGGCCAATCCAGATGGAATGCAGTGGCATGGCTGCAGTCCTCTCTTGGACTAGTTCATGCTGTGGGAGCTTATAGGGACTTTTTTAAAGTTCCCAAACCACCTAAGACGACCCACCCCACTTCCCCTCCATGCTCAAAAGGCACACCCTGCCCCCGGCCCTTCTCTTCCCTCTCTCCCACTTTCCCCACTGTCCTGCTTCAAAGCCATCCTGGCCACTCCAGGCTACACAGAGGCTGGACTCAACTGGGAACAGCAACAGAAAGAGCAGTGGTGATGGGTGGGGGGTGGATTCCTCCACCCTGTTCAGTCCCCTAGGAGCAGATGTGGGAAGGGGAAGCCCCCCAACGCATTCGCTATTGCTGTCACTGGGCACGTATAGACGAAACGGGGGCCCTAAATTGAAGCGGCAGGTTTTAAAAAACTGCTTCAATTTAGGACTGATTAAACCTCCATGCTGTGCGCACACCTACCTGCTTCTCCAGCAGGGAGCAGAGGACGAGCTGCCGGTGGAAGGAGTGGTCCCTGGGCTGCGGGGGCAGCGCGGGGCCTGGTGCTTCCCTCTGCGGCAGTGGCAGCCCCTCACCCGCCTCCCCAGGCAACACCCAGCTCAGGCGGTCCCAGGGGGCACCGCACCTGTGGAGAGGAAGCACCAGGCCCCCGCACAGCTCAGGCAGTGAGGCAGGCAGGCAGGCTCCAGGGAGAGGAAAAAAGATCAGACTCATGGCTTTTCTTGGGCAGAGCTGCTTTCCTGGGCTTCTATCAGGCTGCCTGCAGAACTGTGGAGCTTCATGGAGCCTGGAGCTTCACTCCGTGGCTGTAGTGGCAAACTAAAACTCCTCAAAGGAGTCCCAAGTCATTTAAGGAGCATTATGCTGCCTAATTTCCTACAGCGGCTGGAATTAATGCGCAATATGCCACCGAGGCGTGCAAACACCAACACCATTAAAGTGGTGTAAAAGCATTTAGCCCACTTTAAAGTGCTGTGCACACATGCCTCTTGTTTCATCACACATGGCCAATGTTCCCAGCCAAGCCCAGCTCCCATGCAGCCCAGCTGGTGTACGAAGAACTGGTTTTGAAACTTCCTTGTCCCTGGGGAAAGCAGCAGCAGCAGCAGCATTGGGGGGGTGCCTTTGAGCACAGAGGGAAAGTTGAGGGGTTCTTACAGGCTTTGGGGACTATAAAAAAAAAAAAAAAGTCACCAGAGGCTCCTGCAGTACAGCCTGCCAGCACCACTGGGTTGGGGGGCCAGGAAGAGCCTTGGAGTGGGAGTACAGCCACCCCTGCAGCGTGGGTAATTGTTTTCACACCCTCCTTTCCCAGATACTGGATCTGCCCCTACTTCACACAAATATTGCCCTTCTCTACTATAGTGTAAGAGAGCATATGGTTTTGGCCTGCAAAGCTGAGTTTCTAAATAATGGCATAAGCACCTTTCTAAGTTTTTTTGGATTGATTTGGAGTCTACCTGCAAACAAACATTTCCTAACCCAAATACAAATTCCACTGGTCCATTTTGTTTCTAAATCAACCCAGAATACATGGGTAACACTATGCACACCTCTGGGCACAAGAAAACGTCAAAAACTTTTGCTTTCAATCTTCTGGGGGGTGGGGAATAATTAGAAACAATCAGTCATTCTTTTTTTCAGCAACATTATGAAAAATATTTTCAGAATCTCTCTAAAACGAGCTCTTTCTAGAAAAAGATGAAAATGACTTTAAGATATAACATATCTCGTGCTTTAGGAGATGCTTCAGCTGCTACCACTGACAGCTATTAAAAATGCAATTAAAATACCATGTTTGCAGTAGGAAAACAACTTACATTGGCACATAGAAGTGGCTGAGGCGATGATTTAAAGCCGCAGCTATGCCAGTGTCGGAGCTGAAGAACAGATATTAAAAGATGTGAAAAAAAATGAATGAAATTAAAACCAAGATTTTTTTTTTGCTTAAATTGTGATTTGTCACCTGATAAATATCATTTATCTTGTTAACCTGGCCAGATGTTCAGAGATGTACCTAATATGTGCGAATATCACCACTCTATACACAAATAAGGATTTGTGTGCACTTATGGCTAGTTAACTAAGCTGTCAGACATGTGCGTGTAACCGTACCCAATCTGCATATGCACTTATGATACTAGAGCACACAAATCAGGTTTGCATATTATATGCGTACAAATCTAAGAAAAAAATCTGACTGCAAGTTAACAGCCCACAATTAAACAACTCCACTGTGAAGCTTATTCAACAATAAATAGTAGTAAGTAGTTTTGCATCGAGACAGGAAGATTTCTGTATACTTAATCAATAATGAGGGGTAATTGTTTTTGTTACTTTTTGGGGTGCATGTGCTAATTTTATGCATCACCTATATGGCAAATGTCATTATTATGTAGTGATTGGAATAATTTTTCATTTGTTACTTTTCAGTTTGTCAAAACAAACTGATTGGCAACAAAGTTAGCAAGAGAGCACCATGTGACAAATAAATTGTTGTTACCAGGAAATCTCTTAAAACTTCTGTAGATACAACATAACCTTGTGCAGAGGTTTAGCACAAAGTTGCTGCACTGGTCAAATCGCACTTACATCCTCAGAATAATGACGGCAGATTTCACTAGTTCAGAATCCCCATGCTAGGTTTCCACACAAAGCTGAATGTCATTGATTTGGAATCACTGACCACCCCTTCCTTAAAGAGTGATGGCAAACACCTTCAAAGTAAAGGTTCACTGCTCTCTCCCCAGATGTTGGAATCAGACAGCCATATATTTTTAAAAGGTATTTTTAAATAAACATTTCATTCTTTTACTTGACAATTAAAATTGTAAAGACTGCTTACTCATGCCATCTTCCCTGTAAAAGCCTCAACATCGAGTGCTCTTTTAAAGTAAGTTTCAACATGCATTTCAGAATGCTTTGCACATAAATAGTTTTGCAAAACTTGATTTTGTTCATATCAGCCTGTTCTGGATTTGTATGTAGAAACAGCATCCCACATCTACTGAGAACCAGTGCTCCTCCAGCAGACAGTCTCACCAGGGTCACATGACTCTCTACCAGTTACCATGATTCTTAATTTTAACTAAAAACAGCATAGCACATGTTGTATGTGGAAAAGAAGAATGAAAGCATACCAACAATTTTGAGCAAGCACTTTCCAGCTAAATAATGTTTCCAGTGCAAGCTTTGAGCTGGAAGAGAGGGGAAAAAGGAGTAGATAGGCAGAGAAGGCTCCCCTCAAATTAACACTCCAAGGAAAAGAAGGCAAGTAGCCTGGGGGAAAGTGGGAGAGTCTGTAGGAGCAGCGGTTCTTAGAAGCAGTGGTGTCCATTAGCCTGATAAATTTTAGGCCCATCTGCCCAGAACACAGCACAAGAATAAGAAAATTTGCACTAAAAGCACAATACTGAATAGATGTTGAAGCTAAACGGCAGTCAGCACTCACAGTAACTTGTGTCCTCCCCCATGAAGTCAAAAAGAGCAAAGCTCTCTCAATCACAGTCTATTTAGGAAAAGGCAGTAGTCCTTATTAAATAAGCTCAGCTCCACCCCTGCTACAGGTATGCTGATGCTTTCAGAAGTATTTGTTTAATAACATGTGTGTGATAAAAGTATTTTGCCTATCTGTGCAGGACAGAAAAAACCCTGGGAAGTATGGTTGCTCTGACCTATCAAGATGCTTGGTGTTGTGTGATGTCTGAGGGCACAGGACTAGAGCACTTGTCTTAGTGACCAGATCTGAAACATATGAAACAAAGCAGCTGAGAGAGAGACAGAGAAAAAAAAAGAAGCAATCTTCCAGTTTCCCATGAACAACTGTACTCATCTGGGGAAAAAAGACAAGATCTCAACCAATTTAAGAAACAGCTTCAGGAGATTTGAAAGAATCAAATATTAGAATCGTTCTCTTTTTCTTTGTATGATTTGAGCTGTTTACCTATTCTAAAATGCTGCGGTGGGGGTTCTTTTTATGGTGCTGGTATTTATTCCATATCACAGCCATTGTATTAAGCATACTGATTTTTATTTCTAGTCATTCACACTCAAGCATTCAGTGGGCAGTACATGTTCATGTTTATATACCTGTCACAAACTTGCAGAAAAACTTCAGCATTTTGGAAAATTGTAAATTTTCAAAATATTCATTGTATTTTCCAGATGTTTTTCAGTTCAAAATAGTGTACTGCACACACAAAAGATTTTTTTTGCTTTTGTCTTTAAGTGAATGGGGGTTTTGATTTTGTTCATTAAATATTTATGATGCACAAGAGGTAGAAAGGATTATGAGAGAAAGGAAAATGCTCATTTGGAATGCTAAGGAGAAGCCTTTCTTTTCAGAACAAGGTTGGTTTAAAGAGACAGTTCACACATTTAACCTGGCTATGTTGCTGAACTATCTGCTTTTAAAATACAGCTTCCAAGAATTGTGTACCACTAGTACCGGGCAAACACCTGGACAATTAATGGACTAACACCTGTAGCAAAACAACACTTCTGTTATAAAGCTGGCATTCCCAAACTATATGTTCACTTTTACCATTCAAACTGGAATTTTCTTATTTAAAAGAAAAAAACAAAAGAAAGAGAGAGAGAGAGAGAGCAAGAGAGACATCTTTTGGTTGTTCTGATTTTTCTCTATAAATGGGTCCTACAGAACTGGATTCAACTGGACAATCCTATTTCTTCAAAAATAATGCCAAGGCTTATCTATATTACAAAGCCTCAACAGCTATGTCTGCAATCACATATGTGCAGCTGCCTGTTGCAGAAGGGTTTTTCCTATCAGCATACCTATGCCACTTCTCTGAACAGCATTAGCAAAGCCAGCTAGGCCAAGAAGAAGGCTCCAGCTATGCTGAGCCTGGGTTTTTTTGGTTTTCCCTTTTTGCAAGCAGAGCTTCATCAGCTAGGGGATCCTATCTTTTCATATTTCTTGCCGACATAGCCATGCCAGGAACTTTTAGTGTAGACCAGGCCCCTAGACAAGCAGGATTAATGAAAATGTTACTGAAATAAGGTTCTGCCCAAGAGTTCAGTGGTCAGATAGACAAAAGCTATTAGTTCTTTTCTTTTAAAAATTCCAAGTTCTTACAACATATTAAGTCTAGACTTGATATAAACTTGCACATCAGTCTGGGGTTTTCTTTGAGTTGTAATATTTTGCTTTGTCAATCCAATGTTTTTGCTGAATGGAAGTCTCTTTAAAGACCGCTAGCATTTGAATCGGATAAACTGAAAACTAAAATAAATAGTGACATCATTTAAATTAAACAAAACAGAAATCCATGAGTAAATGTATAGGTATAGCCACTGCATATAGACTATTGAGTAAGAGTATAAATCTTGATATAAGGACATACTTCGCTATTCTGTATGTGGCATCCTAGGTAAGTAGAGACATCAGCATACATTTGGGGGAAAAATACTTGCAAATTACTTAAAATGAGAATTTTTTTCACCACTCATTCTAGGAGATATTTCATAATACTGCAAACGTAGCATCTCACCCTTCGTTCTTAAACAAACTTGTGCAAGGAAAAGGGTTTTTGCAATCCTTAAAATAAACAAACAAACAAAAAACACTGAATTCTCTGCAGAAACAACTATTACGATAGAACAATTAAGGGCTGGTAACCACCAAGAACAACAGTGTTAGAATCGGGAATACTGGGCAGGCTGACCTGGCAAACACAGAGGGAAGAAGTAAGTAGCAAAATTTCTGTCAATGGGTAGTAAGGTGTCAAATGCAAAAGGGAAAGAATGTCAAGGGGATGGCCCCTCCTAGGCAGTATAGCTCCAAGCTTGTAGGACTGGAAAATCCTTTTGAAAAATGAGAAAAGGAAATTTCCCCAGTGGGAGAGCTGGCCAAGCAGGTAATAGGAAGCAAGCTGCAGTTGGATAAATCTGTCGCTGTGGTTGGGAATGAGTGTATCCTCTCTTGATACAACATATTGTGAGAAATCTTCCTTGGTATAAAAATGTTTGGCTTGAGAGCAGAGAGGCAGTCTGAGTAAAAGTGGGTTCTTCCATTTTTACTAAAAAACTGAAATCTATAGAATCTATTAAATAAATGATGACATTCAATATTTGCCTGACTTTTGGTTTTCTTAATTTCTTTTTGTCGATAAACTCCCTATTCAGAATACTTATTAGCATATTTTACTTTACTCAAAAGCAACATCTGCCTGTTATCCCAGAAATCCTGTTAGGAAAATCAGGGAAAAAAAGTTTAGTCATCACTGTCCTACTGACCCAGCCAGGGAAGGCAACATTGTCTTATACAGTTTCCTAAATGCCAGAAACACAAGAACTCTTGCAGAGAATATGCTTTCTCTTTCCTTACTTTGCAGCAATGTGAGAAGATCTGACATATGTATTCTTGTGTATATCGAGACCTACTGAGCAGTGCCATAAGGTGGGGGATAACTGTAGCATCCTAGAAACAAGTCAGAAAAGAAAAAAAAACAACATTAAAACTAAGAACTTCAGCACCATCAGTCAGCAATTTGTTGTTAGTTAAAAGCTGCATCCTCAACTTTTTTAATAAATAACACTAATCTGCAATACATGATCCTGTTCTCTCTTCCACTGTGACCCACAAGGAAACAGGTCTAGGCCATAAAACTACTAAGGGGGAGATTTTCAAAAGGCACAAGGGACAGCTTAAGGTCCAATGTGCATCTAAAATCAAAGAGAGTTAGATGCCTAACTCTGGATTTGTGTTTTTGAAAATCTTCACCTAAGTTATCAGTTTAGTGAGAAAAAGAGGGAAAGAGGAGGAACTTCACTCACAACAAACTGTCACTTGACAGCAAATACTGAATAAAAAGCTCTGTATATTTGGAGACAAAATTCCCTAACAACATTTTCTATCAGTATAGTCATGTACTTACCTTCTTATCTGCTTTCATTTAATTCTTAGGAATGGGAAAGGTAGTAGTGGCAGTACAAGGTGCCAGTCTAGACAGTAGATATTCTATCCTCCCACCAACAATTGGAGATAGGAGAACAAAAAAAAAAAAAAAAAAATTTAGGG